CTATGGTCACTTTGAAAAAAAATGTCAGATTACAAGAATGAGACACAAACGAAGAGCTTGAAGTAAAGTTTAGAAACGGATGTCAACAATTTTGGCTTTAAAAAGATATACCTGCTATTTATTCCATAATATATAATATCTTAAGAAAGTTTTTAATGGTTTTTCCGATTGAGAAGGAGTTTCAGTGCTCTTGCCAGTCACCAAAACAAAAAAGAAAGAAGAAAAAACTAAACACTATTAACCGAGAAGATATTTAGGGTTAAACCCCCAAAGATTGATGCCGAATGCCGAAAATTTGCTATTGCATCCCCAGATTCATCCCTCCCACTAAAAGTATTTGTTTGCTGCTCATTTATTTTAGGTAACAGTTATTTTATGCATTAATTAAATTTTAATTTAATTAATTAAATTTTAATCTAATTAACTTACATGGTTTTTTTTTGTTTTTAAAATTATACTTCACCGTTAAAATTTTTTTTCTTTTTTGAAATGGCTCTATACCGCGCAACAACACATTTGGATAAATTTTGGGAAAAAATTTTTTTAATTTGGTAAGTAGGGGGGTACCCAAGCTAAAAAAAATTTTGAAGGGGCTTAAGGCAAAACAGTTTGGGAACCTCTGAGGTAGAGCGTCCATAGTGAAAACGAAAGTGGCAGATGTGGAGACCGCTTTACAAAGAAGTCCAAAGAAATGACCTCCGTCTACATAAACATCATTACGGATTTCATATCCTTGCTGAACAGTCATGAACGAAATTTTGTGCAGCATGACGGTGCAACGTGTCACACATCACGGGACAATATGGAAGTTTTAACTGAAATTTTCGATTATCGGGTCATTTCCAAAGCGCTTTGTCCCTCACGTTCACCGGACTTGTCAATTACGTATTTTTTCCTTTGGGGATATCTGAAAAATGTCGCCTTCAGGAATAACCCCCAAATGCTTGATGAACTTAACAGTAACATCCTTCATGAAATATCGGACATTAAATCTCCCACTCTTCGTAAAGAGTCAATCTGGTAAAAAGAGTTCGACTGTGTGTCCAGGAAAACGGACATTATTTTGAACTTTACTTCGATTTCCCCCTGTCTGATACCTGACAATAAAGATAACCGTTCAACCTTTGTTTGTCCTTTATTCTGTTTGATAACATAATTCATCTGTCTTTAAAGCTCAACCACAAAGGTTGATGTGCGTGACTTTTGAAACACCCGGTATGTAGTCCATCGAGGAAAGTCAATTGAAGAGAAAATAAAAATGGCTGGTCGAAATATAATATCAGTCTTAAAACCAAAATGAGTTTTAAGGTTCCGGGCTCACGTTCGGAACCGTATTTAAAAGGGGCATAAATGGATAATTTTCATGATATTTAGTGTCACTTAGATTAGAATACTTTATAAAAAATTTGGGTTTTAAAAACATTTTACAAAAAAAAATTATTTAAAAAAATATCGGCAAAAATTAACTTAGAATAACCTTTTTTAAAATGTTCTCCTTGTGAAAAAATGCTTCTATTATAATAATATTTTTCCTGTATATAGCTCGACATCTCTACAGAGGTCAACTATGATTTTTGAAAAAATTTACATTATTTTCAGAGTTACAATCATTTGAAATAATTATCGGCGTTTTTTTCTTAAAGTTTCTCCCTCTGTTGTCATAAGACATGGATAAACCCATTTCTAAGTTATATACTTCAAAAATTCTAGTTGAGCCTCTGTATAGATATCTAAGCTATAGACAGGCAAAATATTAGTATATAATAGAAGCATTTTTCACAAAAGGAGAATATTTTGAAAATGGGTCATTCTACTTTCATTTTTTGTCAAAATATTGTACTTAAATAATTTTTTTATTGTAATACTATTCTTAAAACAATTTTATATACATTTTCTAATCTAAGTAAAACTAAATATCATAAATATTATCCATTTAAACGCTTTTGCAATATCGCGGTTCCGAACGTAGTTGGATACCTTAAACTAATTTGACGTTTCCATCGTTTTTTCTTTACGACCAGGTAGGCTCTTGTATGGAAACATACCCAAAATAAAAATGCACAAAAAAATTTTAAAGTACCTTAATAAAGGGTAAAAATCTGTCATATGTATATATTTGTCAATCATATAAAGTGAGATTTATTTTATGTGCATTTCATGTTATTTTGAGCATTATGTGATTTATTTTATGTGCATTACATATTATTATGTGCATTATGTGATTTATTTCATGTACGATTTATTTTGTGTGTATTTTATATGTCTTTTATTGTGTTTGCCGAAGCTGATTGAACATGACAATGAACTCGAAATAGATGTGCAGTATGTTTGAGTTCTGGCGCCAACACAGGCTCGGCATGTTGAGGGGCTAATACGCACTAAATACATTGCTCAAAAAATTAGGGGAGTAAGCGCAAAAGGGAAGATACCATTAAACGATAGTTATGCAGGGGCATAAAATAGAGAGTACAGGTGGAGAGTACAAGGGAGATTAGATGTTTATCATGGTGTTTAGTGCCCCCGAACTGCTAAGACTGCCACACACCTGTTTAGCATAGATAAGATGTGGTTATCGGTGAGACTTTGAGGAATACTGCTACACTCTTAAAGTAGTACCTTCTCTACGTACTAGACACTAAGCAAAGGCAGTGATTTCACTGAATGTGTCGTCCAAATAAGTCCTAAGCATGCTAAATAAGATTTAGGTCAAGAAAACATACCACCATACACTATATTGTTTCAGATCAGTAGCGGACGCAGGAATTTTTCAAGGTAGGGGGAGGGGGGGGTCAGAGTCGAAAGTCCACCATTCTTGTATCATGCTCCTTTCGAATTTTTCGATTTTCGAGAACAAAAAACAGTAAAAAACTAATCATTCAATAAATAATTAGCATTAATTAATAAAATTAATCATTAATAACAAATACTTAATAAATTTTGTGCTTTTTCTTAGAATTATAATCAATCGGGAAAAAAAATCAAGGGCTTTGGAGGGTCCGGACCCCTAGAGAACCCCCCCCTTGTGTACGCCACTGTTTCAGCTATTGAAAACTCTTTACGAGACGAATTGTAGGATTTCTGGCAATATCCTGCATTAAAAGAATAGAATCACCAATGGCTGCAACGTAAGGTACGACATAGGGCTTCAAGATCTCGTCTACATAGTTTTCAGTTGACAAATTACCATTCCGTATAAGCAGGTCAGTACGTTCACCTAAGCTTGTGAGAGGCTATCACCTCACTCTTGGGCACCTAGATATGTGAGAGGTAGGGAAGAAACACTCGCCATGATCCAATCAATCTATTTATTTATCACACAATAAAACAATACAAATTCAATAAATAACAGTAAGAGAATGTCTCGGTACTAATCACGAAAGTGGAACAACGAACGGTAATACATGAAAGATTAGGAGACAATCAAACTAGATCCTTACTTTATATAGGATCTAATCTATCACCCGATTTAATCTAATATCAATTTAATCCCAATGAACAATCGTCACTTTAAAGCTTCCTCCTTTAATCAAAATAATTCAAATATGATCTGTCAGTAACAATCTCACCTGATTCGGGTTTATCTCCTCTCCTACTCTCTCTTCTAGCTAGAAAATTTCGGCTGTATATAGTAAGTTAATTTGAATATCCCGATTTTCTTCTTCCGAAGGGTTGGTTGTGAATAACTCGAATTGATAGCCCAAAGATTTCCCAAGAGGATTAGTTGAAGGATCGCGGATAGATCTGTCACAAGCTGATACCAGCCCATACTATCAAACCACTTCGTCTGTCATGTGATCTTTCCTGAACGAATATAGGATTATTTCGAGTGCCCCTTTCTCGCCTTACCGAAACACGTTTGGTGTCATATTCTAAACTGAATAGGGACTCGTCCGTTAACCCCATTTGAATCCTATCACTTTGCATTCAATCTCGATGTTCAGCAGCCCGCTTTCTTTAGGATGCATTACGTCTTGCTGTCAATGGAATACATACCATTGGCTTACGTGCATACAGATCACCCACATGAAGCCTATTTCGGATGGTTTAGTTTGAGACCCATCCTCCTAATGTTAAAAGAAACTGTCTTTGAGTCTGCGTTGCATTGGCTCTTCTGTCTCGATGAGCTGTTTACAGGATATATCAGTTATTATTGTCTGTGGTAACCAGTAGACTACCTTGTCCAGGTTAACGTCGTAGCTACCCTGTTTCTTAGAATTGATTCCACAGTCTTACAGTGCCTTTTTGCCACTCCTACAGCATCCGCTACAGTACTTTGTCATTGTCTGGGTTCCAGTCTCTTGATAATATGCTAAGCCATGGATTCCAGTAGATCACGTAGTCGAGTCCCCTTTCTCAAAAGAACAGCTGAAAGTTTGAATTTCATAACTGAGACAACGAAAAATATCAGCTTCTACAAAATCCTGATTTCTGCACTTATTTCCCTTTCCTGGTTTTTGATCCCAGGTACATTGATTTGCATATGAAGTTTTCTTCTTCGTTTTTCTGCTACAGTTTAGACTATGGATGTTTTGTTTTACATTAATTATCAAATGAAATATTTTAGGAAATTTCGCCAAATTCATGTGCTCCTCTAATTTTTTGAAGTTATACTTCTTTTGGGGCGTTAGAGAAATAGGATGAGGGTAAAAATTTACAATGCGCGCGCACCCCGTCACGGATGTGACGCACACCTTCACGGATGCGAAAATCCTTTGTCTAGAAATATACAGAACGGGACAAATCATTACAGCCTTCGAAATTCTCAGAAAAATATTTCTCTTCACTTCCCTGAAGAAGGGGACACTAGGATTCAAACCGAGACCTCTCGAAATGCAGCCGAATGCTCTACCACTGAGCTATACACCCGCGACAGCGAACCTTTGCTTTGTGTTCCGTAGGATAGTATACGAAAATGCTTTGTCTAGAAATATACAGAACGGGACAGATCATTCCCACCTTCGAATTTCTCAAAAAAATATTTCTCTTCACTTTCCTGCAGAAGGGGGCATCCGGTTGAACCGGGGGCCTCTCGATCTGCAGCCCAATGCTGTACCATGAGCTATGCCCCCTTCCGCGTCAGCGAACCTTTTTTCTTTGCGTTCCGTGGAACGGATACAAAAATGCTTTTTTCTAGAAATATGTAGAATGGACAGATCATTCCCGCCTTGACCCCTCCCCATATTACTGGTCCTATTGTCCCTGGAGTGTCATATTTATTTAAATCGGGATTGATCTCAGGTTTGGCTGGTCCGATTGACTGAAGGTTAATCTCACTCTGCTCGTGACCACCTTTTTGTCCGGGCCCCGCTTGCCCTGCTAAAGATTTTGAAAAAACTTTAAACTTGTTATATCAAAAAAGTATAACCCC